GGAGTAATGTGTGAGTTGTGTTGAATAATCTGCTCCACAGCTGACCTCAAGCTGTCTATACTCCATCAGGAAGTAAGCCAAGCAAGGGTGGAGTGCTGACTCACACAACAGAAGTTCAACTGTTCTCATGCGTACACAACTCATTTATCATCTTAATCTTCACTATATTTGCAAACGATGCAGGGACGAGCTGTTAACTTAATTTGTGTGATATTGTGTGAGTCATGTGTGCTTACCTGAATCTAATTAGAGTGTTACCTAAATCTAATTAGTGTTCGAAGCTGCAGTGTGTAAGATTTTTTTTGCTAAAAAAAAAAAATAATAATAACAACCCTTACTGAGTTATGAGAAGCCTGTTATAGTAATTCACAGTCAGGACTTTCAAGCAGGATCTGGCAGGAGTCACACGTTACATGAATACATCTTTCATGATGAATGAGGTGAAAGGATCGATTGTAAGAGGAGAATGGATTCAGGAATGAAGAATTAGCTTTAGCTGCACAGATAAGACATTTTTAATTTGTTCCATAAATATGTAGCTAGCCAGAGAATAATAAGGTTGTAATAATAACCAAAGCAATTACCTTTATTGTGGAATTGTTGTTCAGTTGTAAACAGAGCTATGGTTAGCTCTAATGGTGTTTGATATATTTGATTCTTTCTTTTTTTTCATTTTTTTTCTTTCTTTCTTTTTTTTTTTTTACATTAAATGTGGTATAATGAGTAATAATTGTCTTATATTTTCATGGTATAATTGTCTGATATTTTTAATGATCCTCCTAACGTGCATACAGCTCTGCACTAAATTAAAGTACTCAGATGGCTAATGCTAGTTACTTAATTGTGGTTTGATGAACACTGGACAACCACCAGGGGCACTGGGAAACCTTTTCAGAAGAGTGCATGCTCATGCTGAGACCTTCCAAAGTCACAAATTTGATTTATGGTTTTGCAGTAAATATACAGCCATCTTTTCCTGGAACCTTCTTGCTAAGCTTCTGCCAGACCAGCATAACAGATCAGAACAACAGGGAACCCTGGCAGTTGTCTAATGTTCATACAACAACCACAGTTACATACATATCAAGCATTCTATTTTATCCTACCAAACCTCCAGGAATGGTGAATATCACCTGGATAACATATGCCACAATGTCATGAGGAACTGATATATATTACGACTGACTGGAAAGGTGTTTGGAAATGACTGCTGCACTCACACTGCTGGGAGGAGTGAGGCTAACTCTGTAGAGCCTGGAAAAGGTACAGTGACATCCAGGTAGCATCAGTGGAGTCACCACAGAATCAAAACCCATTGAAAACATGTGGGATGAGCTGAAGAGGAGAATCTACAAGAGGGGACCTAGGTCACTGGAGGATCTGGTGAAATTCTGCATTGAGAAGTGTTCTCAGATTGCTTGCTCTGTATTCTCCAGAATACAGATCAAACAATCTTCTCTGTGTTCTTAAAGGAGAAAACTCAATGTTGTTATATTGGAAAAGGGAGGTTGCACAAAGTATTAAATGCAGAAGTACAAATGATTGTAACATGGTTTTGTTAAAAAATAATTTTTCATAAGGGTTTTTCATTTTCTTAGAAGTAATTAAATTCAATTAAAGATTAGTTCTCTCATATTTTCCATGTCACAGCTGCTTAACAAAAAATGTTAAGCTACCAATAATTTTGTATTGTATCTTTGAGAAAGTACTGCATCTATGCAATGCCTGCTCGATCTCTCATGTCCCATATTTCAGATCTGTGGAGGGCGCAGCACAGCCTGTTTAAAAGTGCCAGGTGTTTCTGTGTCATCTACTCCACACCCATAAATCTCTCTCCGCTTAGCTTCTCTGCAGGTGTGGGAGAGATTACACTCCTCCAAATGGCAGTCAGGCCCTCTGCAAAGGAGCCTGTTTAACTGCTAAACTGGAAACTGTCCTGTGTGTGTGTGTGTGGGTTTATAAATAAATAATAAATACTATACATATGCACTTTGCGAGGTGGGGCCTCTTGGATCAGACTTGTTTGTCCAACACATCCCACAGATGCTTGATTGGATTGAAATATGGGAAATTTGGAGGCCAAGTCAACATTTTCAACTCTTTGTCATGTTCCTTAATCCATTCCTGAACAATTTTGCAGTGTGGCAGGGAGCATTATCCTGCTGAAAGAGGCCACTGCCATTAGGGAATAGCATTTCCATGAACGGATGTACTTGGTCTGCAACAATGTTTAGGTAGGTGGTACATGTCAAAGTAACATCCACATGAATGCCAGGACCCAAAGTTTCTGGAAATCATGTGGTTCTGACACCTTTCTCTCATAAGTTTTTCAAAGATTTGTGCTACAGTAGCTCTTCTGTGGGATCGGACCAGATGGTGAGCCTTTTCTCCCCATGTGCATCAATGATCCTTGGGCGCCAATGACCCTGTCACCGGTTCACAGGTACACCAGTTGTCCTTCCTTGGACCACTTTTGGTAGGTGCTAACCACTAAATTCCCGGAAACACCCCACAAGACCTGCCATTTTGGAGATGCTCCGACCCAGTCTTCTAGCCATCACAATTTGGCTCTTCTCAAAGTTGCTCAGATCCTTACGTTTGCCTATTTTTCCTGCTTCCAGTGTGGTAAGTGAGCTGGCGTCCATGCTAGGCTAAAGGCTAACCCTAGTCGCCCAGCTCTATCATACATTCTCCTCTCCAGTGTTCACCACCTTGACAATAAACTGAACTCAGACGGCAGCTAACTACCCAGCGTGAATTCAGGGATGTTGTGTTTTTGTTTTTACAGAAACATGGCTCAACAACAATACTCCAGAAGCAGCTATTCAGTTAGCTGGACTAATCGCACTTCATGCCGACAGGATAGCAGTACTGTCTGGTAAGATTCGTGGCAGTGGCCTGTGTGTTTACACAAACAACAAATGGTGCAGGAATGCTATTGTGGTCTCAAGCTACTGTTCATTGTTGGTGGAGTTTATTATTGTGAAGTGCTGGCCATATTACCTGCCCAGATAGTTTACCACTGTGCTCATTGTCATGGTCTACATCCCACCTAACGCAAGGTAAGTGCTAAGCGAACTCTACGGGGCTATCAGTAACTTACAGACAGAGCACCCTGACTGATTTTCCATTGTTGCCAGAGACTTTAACCACATGAATCAAAATTCCACCAGCATGTTGATTTCACAACCCGTGGTACAAACACTTTAGACCTTGTTTATATGAACACTCAGGGTGCTTACAGGGCTGCACCCCGCCCCCACCTCTGCTGCTCGGACAACGGCTCTATTTTGCTATTACCTGCATACAGACCACTCCTGAAACATACAAAACTGGTTCTGAAACGGGTGAGAACCTGCTCTGAGGGAGCCATCTCAGCACTTCAGGACTGCTTTGAACACAGAGGAGTACACAGCATCAGTGACTGGCTACATCAGCAAGTGAAAAGATAATGTGACTTCCTACAAGACCACCACCACATGTGCAAACCAGAAACGGTGGATGACTACTGAAGTGTGCTCACTGCTGAAAACCCTAGACATTGCCTTCAGGTGTCTCCGCACAGCAAGGTCCAATCTGTCCCATGCTCTCAAAGAGGTGAAGCGCAAATACACATAAATAATCCACAGACACTTCCTAAATACCAAGGACACAAAATGTATGTAGCAAGGCATTCCGGCCATCACAGACTACAAAGCTACACCACTTTTCACCAAGTACTTTGTCTGTCTGCAGTAAAACTCTGTCCAGAGATAACCCACGGAAAGCTTTAGGTCCTGACAACATAACTCATTTGGTGCTCAGGGAATGTGCTGATGAGCTTGCAGATGTCCTCACAGACATCTTCAACATTTCCCTGAGCCAAGCAGTTGTCCCTGTGTGCTTCAAGACAACCACAATAATGAAGAAGAAATCATCTGTGTCCTGGCTGAATGATTACCAGCCCTTTGCACTCTCACTTATCATTATGAAGTGCTTCGAGCGGCTAGTCATGCAACACATAAAGAGCAGTCTTCCCACCACACTGGACCCATTTTAGTATGCCAACCATCTCAACCTCTCAACAGAGGATGCCATACCTGCTACCATCCACCTTTCTCTGACCCATCTGGACAAAAAGGACAGCTATGTAAGGATGCTGCTCATAGACTTCAATTCAGCATTCAACACATTCATCCCACAGAAACTGATAACAAAGCTGTGCCTGCTTGGTTTGAACACCTCCCTCTGCAACTGGATTCTGGACTTTTTGACTGGGAGATCGGCAGTGAGTTCATCCAGTCCATCAGGATCGGCAACTCCACTTCCAGCACCACCACACTGAACACTGGTGCTCCCCAGGGCTGTGTGCTCAGTCCACTGCTGTTTACTCTGCCAACTTATGACTGTGCTGCAAAGTACAGTTCAAATCACATCATCAAGTTTGCTGATGACACTACAGTTGTGGACCTCATCAGCAAAAATAATGAGTCAGCATACAAAGAGAGGAGATGAATCAGCTCACAGAATGGTGTAGAGATTAAAAGAAGCGATTTATAGAATAATCTATACCTTAATGTTGATAAGACTAAAGAGATGATTGTTTACTTCAGGAGGACTCGAGTAGACCACTCACCTCTGCACATCAATGAAACAACTGTGAAGAGAGTCAAAAACTCCAAGTTTCTTGGTGTGCACTTGACGGAGGACTTCTCCTGGACTCTCAACACCACTTGCCTAGCCAAGAAGGCCCAGCAGTGCCTTAAACAGTAGAGAGCTTCCTGACCAGCTATCTCACCACGTGGTACGGGAACTACACAGCCTCCGACCACAAGACCCTACAGCGAATTGTGTGAACAGCTAGAAAGATCATCAGCATCTCTCTACCCACTGTCAACACCTCATACAGCAAATACATTTACGGTATTTGGCAGACACCCTTATCCAGAGCGACTTACAATTATCTCATTTATGCAACTGAGCAGTTGAGGGCCTTGCTCAAGGGCCCACCAGTGGCAGCTTGGCAGTGCTGGGACTTGAACTCTCAACCTTCCACTCAGGAGGCCAACAGCTTAACCACTGAGCTACCACTTCCCACATACTGCATCCACAAAGCCACCAGTATTGCGGACAACCCGTCTCACCCCTCTCATGGACTCTTCACCCTCCTGCGATCTGGCAGAAGTGACAAGTGCATCCATGCCACCACCAGCAGACTCCGCAACAGTTTCTTCTCTGAGGCAGTCAGATTACTCAGCACCCTGCTGCCTCTCAATGCTCACCTGGGCTAGTCAAACCTAACCCAGTATGGCTCAAAAACACTGTAAACCTGCACCTTACAAAGGTGCATCAGGCACTTTTATTATGGAACTCATTTTTGCTGCCAACACTGCTGCTACACTACAAAATAGTTTACAGCCCATGTTCTGTGTATTTTTTGTCCTGTGTATTCACTGTCCTGTGTATCTATTGTTCTGTTCTGTTCTTTATTGTCCTGCACTTGTCTCACATTGCTGTGTAGTGCACTTTATGTAGTCTTGCGTACTGCTCTGTGTTGCACCATGGTCCTGGAGAAATGATTTTTCATTCTGATGTATACTAGCAATATAGAGGAATGACAATAAAAACCACTTAACTTGACTATCCCAGGAGGCAGGAATACACCCTGTATGGATGGATCGCAGGCACCATGCACACACCTGCACAACTTCACACCTAGGGGCAGTTTATCTTAGCCAATCCACCTACTGACATGTTTTTGGCATTTGGGAGGAAACCTGAGAACCCAGAGGAAACCCACACTGACAAGAGGAGAGCATGTGAAACTCTGCACAGACAGTAACCCAAGCTCAGGATCAAACCAGAGACCCTGGAGCCATAAGCAAGAAAGCTATCCAGGTGCACCACTTCACCACCCTGGTTTTCATAACATTCCACTCTTAATCTAAATTGTACTGTATATGTAACGGATAAAAGAGGCTAGATGTAAGGCTAGAGAACTAAGGAGCTCTTAATAATTGATGGATTGTTGATTTTAGTATTTCGGTTCCTGAGGAGTAATATGTTCTACTTTATGATGCATTTCCACAGTCAGTCATAAAGAAGAATACATCAGAAACCCAGGTGGGATCCAGACGTGTGTAACAATATACATTTCCAATAGGTTTTACTGCAGTTACTCAATAATTCATAGTACTTACTAAGATGAATAACTGAAAAATAAATTGGGAGTATAAGGGGTTAACTTATTTTAAATAAATAACTGCTAACTTCTCTGTTAAACTGTTGTGCTGCAGGACCCTAAATGCACAGCCATATTTAAATATTTTTATAACACTTTCTTCATACTGGGCTTTGGAACAGCTCAGGTTTTTTTAGACAGAGAGTAATGATTTTTTTGGAGTATCCCTCACCTGTTTTTGCTCCTAGATGGCAAAGCAAAACACATTTTAAAATAAATATTATGCTGCATAAAGTTCTGCACCTTCAACTGCTACAAAAGTGCAGAAGAGTGTCATAATTATTGTCCTGTCCCAGAAGACCTCTTATCCCTTATCTTATCCAGTTTAGGCCTTAATAAAATACACATGACTATTGTGTTACACATATCTCAAACAGATCTCATACTCTATTTTAATGCACAGTACTAAACCTATCATGTGACAGAATTCATCGTCTAGTTTGATTTATCTTTTATTTATTTATTTATTTTGCCTGACTCACAACCACATCTGCTTGTTGTATCACTAAATGTCTGGATGTAGCATAATTCCTGATATACAGTAGGGTCCAAAATCCATGAACTCAGGATTATCGACCCAAGTTAGTTTACTTAATCATAATATAATCACAATATATTAATGTAGTACAGTAACCTTAATATGAAATATTAATTATTCAAAAATTAATAAATGTGTTCTTTTAGCAGAAAGGCTTAAACGTTTACTCTGTTGGCACAGTCCTCTGTGCACTATGCATCATCATTATTTTTAATTTAAGTAATAACGAGACCATTTTAAAGTAAATCCTAATAAAAACCACATATGTGTTTGTGGTGTAACGGTGTAGATTCCTCCTTTGCACCACCTAATACACCAGCCAAACACTCATGTGGACATGGGATTGAGTAGGCAGAAAGCTCAGGCCAGGCAGTTTTTTTTTTTTTCCAGTATGTGTGGAGTAGCTGCACTTCTGTTTTAGCTCTTGACAGCTAAACTACAGGATGGTTGTTTTGTAATGCTGAAGGCATTACAATTACAAAGAACAGGAAAAAAAAGAGAAACACATTTTTATAATTTGACAAAGAATGGAGAGAAAGAATTGCTTTGTATTGCAACACAGTCACACACAGTACTGTGCAGTAATGAGTGTAAACAAAAGTGACAAATAAAAAGTGTGCACTCATAAACAATGAGAGATTATGAGAGAACTGATTTTCCGTTTCTCTGATCACAAACATTACTGAACTAATTTCATTTTGTTGTAGCAAACTACAATACATGTTTACTTAGGAAGTTATATTAAAAGTTTAGTCATGAGACAGTAATGCTTCCATTTATAAAGGTACAAACAGTTAAAGTAAAGTTGTGTTGTTTGTTTACCAAATGAAGTATTGGCTTCACTTGGGTTTTCTTTTTTGTTGGCTTTTGTTTTTACTCATTTTATCATTAATTTACATCCTATTAAGGGATGCTTCAGGTTTAACCATTGCCTCACATTTCGCATCAACAGGTTTATAAAATATCTTAAAACAGCCACAATTGTATTTGCCTGTAAATTAAAAAAAAAAAAAAAAAAAATGTGAGGGTCCTGCTGATTTTACATTTGTGTCAGAAACAAAAGTAAATTTGCAATCTGCACTCCTCTTTCGGTGCAGTAAGTAACTAGAGTAAGAAAAGCATTACAGTTAGTTTATTATCACTATTACTCTTATCCAATGATTCTTAGCAATCATTAAATGTTACTAGATTCAAGTAGTACCATTGTTTCCTCATTGTCTATCACCTAAACCTCTTTGTCCCGAGATCCTCTCTCCTCTTCCTCTCCCGGCTTGTCTTGTCAAATTAAAGTGCTCTAGTCTAAGTCCTCAGAAATAAACATCAGGGGAAAAGAAGCCTGGGTGTCTGTGATGTCTGACTCGCTTGTTTTCGTATTGTTCAATCAGCCAGTTAGCCCTGCTGTCAAAATGCATGCCTGTCTCCGTGACAGCCTAGTCAGTCAAATCGAATATTCCTCTATAGAAAGGAGGCCTCTTTTTGATTCTGTGAATGCGTCCTTTGCCTGTCTTTGGGATTGAGACTTTCTTCTGAATAAATCAAAGCATGCAAATGTGTGTGTATGTGTGTGTGTGTGTGTGTGTGTGTGCACTCACACACCCCCCACACACATGTGTACATGAGATGGAATAATGAAATTAACTTGCCATAGCAAGAAAGGGGGAGGAAGGGTTTGGGAGAGGAGAGACAGACAGACAGAGAGAGAGAGAGAGAGAGAGACAGAGAGAGAGAGGCAGGCAGAGGAAGGCAGAGGAAGGCACATTTTATTTCACATTTTGATCCTCTGTTAATGTCTTTGAGCTGTTGACATAGCTAAAGGGCTAAAAGCAAATCCACACTGCGCACTGTGAGTGGACCAAACAATCTGTCAATCACCACACGCTGGCTCTTGTAGCTCATTATTAGGAGTCAAAGGTACACAGACCCTCTCACACAGGCCAGACTGAATACACAATATTTCAGGATGATCTGAATTAGTGATGTGATGTGTACTGGTGAAGTGGTACACTGTGTAAGTGAAATGTGAAACAATTATAATGTCAATGTTACATTATACTAGTATAAATGTCATCGCAATGAATTTTTTTGAAAGGAAAAATATGAGGAAACAATGTTACTGAGGAACAATCAAGCATTCATCTTAACAGACTCATTTAAACTATATTCTAACAGATTCTCTAACCAATCTTGTTAAACTTTCATTCTCAGTGCAACATTTTTTGTGCCTTTTATTTCATTTTTTCGTAAGTGATATACTAAAATATACTTCCTACCGGGTATGAAGCAGGAATACACACTGGATGGGATACCAGTCTGTCGCAGGGCACCATGCACACACAGCCTCACAACTAGGGGCAATTTATCTTAGCCAATCCACCTACTGATATGTTTTTGGGATTTGGGAGGAAACCTGAGAACCCAGAGGAAACCCACACAGACAAAAGGAGAGCATATGAAACTCTGCACAAACAGTAACTCCAGCTCAGGATCAAACCAGAGACCCTGGAGCAGAAATGCTATCCGGTACACCACTTCAAAACTCCAGTTTTCATACTATTCCACTCTTAATCTAAATTGTACAATAAGTACTTGACAGTGTGTTATGATCAAGTGTGTTTAATAGTCTGACTGCGGAAATTAAACATCCATTGAAAGATGCATCAACTGAATGTAAAATTACTAGCTTTTAATTAAAATATATTGTGTATAAAATTTCTAGTCTCTAGCTTATCATAAAGTTTTATTATATATAATTCATAGAAATGTATGTCAAGATCATGTACAGGATATTTTCAAGGAACCCTAGTCCTTAGTAATCACTGAGGAGTTAAAAAGTTTTATTCCTGAAGTTGTAGTCTAAGCTTTGTCATTGTGTTCATTCTGGTCTATAGAGAATTTATGTCCATGTGTCCATTCAGCCCAGTATAGTTTTCAGCCCCCACTTTCAGCTTATGGAGCTCAGCACTTTGTTATGCTGTAGCTGGGAAATGCTCCAGAAGTTTTCTTTATAACTTTAGTTTAAACTTTTTAAACTTTTTTTCCCCTTAAAAATCCTTTGAAGAAAGAGTGAGGGGGGCCTACAGAGACTTGTCACTGGATCATATGATATCTCCTCATAAATGGCTCATTTACTTTCTGCTAAAAAAGACCTAATCATCAAGGAACTAAATTTGGCAGCATTCTCCACAGTGAGCATAGATGAGACTAATTTACTAAACATACCCTCCAGTCACATAATTACATGTAATTTTACTGGCATAATTAACTAATTTAATTACTACTCCTCAAGAGCATCAATTATTGATATTATCGAGTGTTC